AATGGAACAGAGGGCTTCCCCGGCGCTCGGCCCGCAGAGCGGGGTCGGCGGATATAGATTTTCTATCATCATAACATAGCTTATATAGCTTCAATTTGATTCTTTTTGAATTGGCCTGGGGAATGCTGAAAATATTTTTGGTGGTTTGCACACAGCCGATGTCAGATTCAGCCAAACATCAGAAATCATGAAAGGCTGTTGTGTGCGCTTTTCGTATGTGAAGCATTGCCTGGCGAATGTGGGGAATGAACTTGGATACAAATGGGCTGCTTTGGAAAGGTTCCCGAGGATGTATCGTACTCGTATGACTTACGTGTTAGGATTTGTTGTTGACCTACGGTGACAGCCCTGGACAGACGCCACGACAAATGCCAGCATTTGGCTACTTGGTTTGAAGAGGTACTTAGTCCCAACCTTACTTTCCTCCAAGCCCAGGGCCCGACCAGCTTCCCTGCTCTTCCGAACTATTGGAAGAGGGCGCCTCTCCGGCTGCCTGAGCGTTCCCAGCCTGAGCGGCTTTTGCTAAGGCTGGGAATGCTTAGACAGCCCATTTCGGGCTCGATCTTCCAGGTTCTTCTGAACTGTTCGGAAGGGTGCGGAAGGCTGCCTAAGTCTTCCTATTAGCGGCAGTTAAGCCTATGGCTCCCACCGCCAAGGCTGTCAATGCTCTGACGGCCCATTCCGAATTCTTCTTAACAAGCAAATTTGCAAGCGTTCTTTGTGTGGGCCAGACGCTTTTTCGGGAGGCTTGCAGTTCTCATCCTCATCACAAGCCTTTCATGTAACATCCGACAAACAGCAAAAGGAGCCTTTCTGGGTTTCCTCAGTCTGCGTTTAAACAAAGCCGGCAGTTATGATCTGAACCCCCAACCTGTCTCCGCACGCACCTGTGCTCCTGTCTTGGGCTTCGGGCTTCTCAGTTCATTTTAATTAGGATTGCAGCTGGCTCATGCTTGAGCTAGCATGCCTGAGTCAGGTTTAAGCTGATTTGAATTCGACTAACTGATTTGAACTGGATGGTCATTTTTTACCAGGTTTTACTTAATTTGGTTAGGTTCATTTTTTTGGCTTTATGTAAAATGACGTTAATTAGAACTAAGCTGGTTTTGAGTAGTTTTGAATCGGTTCCATTAGGTTGTTACTTTGATGCTAATGCGATTTTACTGGATTTTAACTCAAATGCTACTTGGCCCTAAGCCAGTTTTACAGTGGTTCCAAAAGTAGGTTTTAAAGGGAGGCCTATCCAACTCTTTCACAAAAAGCCTACCTCTCCTAAAATCTGTGCTTGGCCCGCGGATGATTCAATACTGGGGCGGGGGGTGTTGCTTCATAATAGGGAAACAATGTTCACGCATGCAAGGGAGAGAGGAGGGCAAGAGCTGCCAAAGTTTGAGTCTTCGTAAAGGTCACTACTGGTTTCAAGCGTTGGACACGACGCTTCCAAAGTCTGGAGATGAAGCCTCGAGCCAAGCTTCTGTTTCCATGTGCCCATTCGCACGCTCCATTCCCAAGGTGTTCGACACGCTTTCCAAAGTACTAGCTGACTCCACAATGCTGTGGCCAAGATCGCATGGAGCGGCTGCATCTGAAACTCCGCTTTTGTTGCTGAGATACACGCCCTGCTGGTGCGTAGTTTTCTTATTCGTCAGCCCCTTAGATCATCGCGCGCTTGTCAGACTGTCAGATGCCGGACTGGATGTGTCTCTCAGGTCATGGCCATATTAGAAGGACGAGGGCCTGAAAGAGGAGTCTATGAGGCTGGCGAATGACATTGTGGCGCTGTTCCCCTCACTATCATTTGTATACTGCTTGTGAGATTTGTTAGCTGCGCGAGGTGCTGACAATGATGTGGGGGAGGGGTTTGAACCCACCTCGCCGCACAGTTTTCTGGCCTATCAGGCGCACCAAATCCATAAGCCGAATGGCCTGACCTGGCGGAGTTCCTTTTGAGCTCAGAACTCCTTGGAAGGGGAGGGGTCGGCCTGAGAAAATGCAGTGGCGCAACATGGCGCAACACACCAAGACCGCACTACTCATACGGAAACACAGCAGGACCACATCGCAGATGCAAAAGACAGCTAGAAGGAAACGACAAATGCCATGGCAAGGCCACGAAAAGCTTAGCCGGTATTCAACACACGGAGCAGTTGCGAGTATCACCTTCCCGTGCCGTCCAGCGTGACACAACATTCAGCATGCTCTCTGCTCGAGAGCCATACAGGGAGCACAGTGGCAACAATTGCATCACCCAGGTGAGGCCTCAACTGCTGATGTGTGCGTCAGTTGAGCAGCTACTTAATGCCCTTCGCCCTTTGCTGTACATGCTGTACATGCTCCGTTGTGGCGAGAACATCATCAAAGTTCTCGATCACAGAGATATGCCCGGGCCAGCCAGCTTAACGACAGAAGGGCAGCAGGACCCCGTAACCAGTGATTCTTCCACACAGCAAACGGATTTCAGCCAAAGTAACTTAACAGTTGGTTGGGTGATCAAGATGGCCGGACATGTGCAGCTCGTCGCAGGTTCGACGCGATTTTTTGGATCTCTTGAAAGGCAACTATGGCTTCACATTGCCGTTTGACATCTTCTCAGATGTGTGCATATTCAGCGGTGGCTCAAGGGGAGCCACAGACTGATTGGGGCGTTGATGCTTGCAAGGTCGCGTTGATCTACGGTCTGGCTCCGGTAAGGCAAGCCAACCTCATCAAATTTGGTCGTCGTCTGCTCTGCTCAAGTCATGCCCCTGTTGCCATGCTTTATGCAGGTATCAAGTTGCTTGCTTCGCTGCTCTCACTTTGGCATACACTATAGCTCCAGACTGAGTTTGTGGCCAGCGATGCGCAGATAACGCGAGTACTGCTGCGGGTCAGAGTGCTGAATTCAGATGCTTCGCCGCAATGAGGTCTTGAGTCTGTGGGCCAGCGCACGAGATCCCAAGGAAATAGTTCCGCAAAAGGATTTTCATGGCGCGCGCCGAGGGTTGTCCTGACAGTTGACGTGCAACCTCTGGCAGCAAGCGCATCCTCCACTGCCGTTTGCTTGCAAGCAGGCCAAGTGCCCCAACACTCCTTTGTAGTTGAGCCAGCCATGGTTTTGGATGGATGGCATGCAGCTACTTTGGATTGCACTCTTGCTTTCACCTGCGAGAGCCGTGCTGGAGCGCCATACCTTGCCAGTGGCACAGTGGACTCGGAATTCCAAGCACCGAATTTCGACAGGTGACATCCAGAGTTTTGTTCAAGCTGCACAGGAAGGTTTGAGGGCAAATCATTAGGAAAACACACAGTCCGGCTTTGAGTTCTTGTTTGCGCCGTGACATTTGGTGACTTGATCCTTTGCTTAGCCTCTGAGGTGGTGAGCAAGCACTACTGGGTGAAGTTGGTGCGGCAATTGGTCAGGCACTTCCTAACAAACTGAAGCGGAAAGAGCTATTCGAAGCGCACGAGGTGGCATGTTTGGTGCAAAGGCAGCTCTCCCAAAGATCCTATCAGCTTCACATGGTGGTTGATGTTTGCGCGGGCTGCGGATTGCTCGGCTTGTTCCTGGCGCTGATGCGCCCGAGAGCCAAAGTCATTGCTTTGGACAGAAGGCAATCGGTCTTGTCCCGGAAGCTCTCAGAAATTGCCACGGTATTTTGGCCTCAGCTGAGAGATAGATTTACATGGAAAGTTTGCGATGTACGCCCCAGTGGTATGGATACCGTTCTCGGCTCGCAGTCTCTGCCTTCACATTGCTTGGTGGTAGCATGCCATGCCTGCGGCTTGCTAACCGACGAGGTCATTGCAGCAAGCTCACAGAGTCGACGGCCCATGGTTCTTCTTCCGTGTTGCTATGTGACGAGTCCCAAAGTCGGCCGTCCCAATCCTGGACATCCCCGCCACTCTTGGGAGAGAATGCCTTGGCTCAAGGAAGGAGCCGTAAATCAAGAAGGCCGGACAGCAATCGACGATGCAAGAGTTTCATTTCTGCAGACGCAAGGATACGAGGTCTGCATGGACCGCATAGACCCACGAATTACGCAATACAACGAGGCAATTTGTGCCTTTCCTGCCAGGTGAAGCATGTACAGTTCGAAGCTGCCCAGCTTGAAACAGAATTCCGGTTTTGTAGGTGCCAGGGTGAGCATCCCAGCTCTGATCACGAGATGTCGAGATGTCAGATTTGCATTCATACTGCCATTTTGGTTACGCCAGGTCTGGCAAAGCCTTGATTTGGCCAATTACCTGGTCCACAGGTTCCTGGTGCTCAGGTTTCCCTGGTCCTCGCTTGATGTAGTCAGGGTGCCAAATGTGTGTGTGCAACATTTCGCCCTCGTGTGGAGCATCCACACGTTTTCGGCTTCAAATGGCGTCCTTGATTCATGAGCATCCTAGGCTTCTCGCTAGCGATGGTCTCTCAGGTTCCTTAGTCCTGTGGTCGTCTGGTCCTTTGGTCCGCGATCTTGTGGTGGCCCGGGAATGCCCGGGAGTCCCTGGCAGAGTGATCTGCTTGCGACCTCCCGCCGCCCTGATGCTTGAGCTTCAGCAAGCAATTTTCAAGCAAGTCTTGTCACGACTGATTGTGCTCACGGGGCGAAAGCCGCGTTGCCAGAGGCATGTTGATCAGAAAGCACACGCCCTAGCAACCTCTCTCACTTCGTTTATGAAGAGCCTACATGTTCTCATGTTCGTCCATGGTGCGCACGCAGGATGGACCGTCCTCATCCATGTTTTGCAAGCGGGGGGGGGTTGGCACCCATCCAACCTCTGTCATGATTGTATAAAGCAAGCTAGAAGCCTGGCAAATGCTATCTGATCATATCTAGACGTAGCAAGAACCTATAGCCTACAGTTTCTGCAATGGGCCTGCCCAAAATGCAGAGCGCCACTTGTTGAAAGCGAATGCTGGGCAACTCTCTGCAACCTAAAACAAAATCCCTGGAAAATCCTCTTTCAACCTGAATCTTGAAAGGCCTACATGTTGCAAATCGGGAGGCTCCCCCCTCCCCCCTCCCAACCCCCCGCTAGTAATTCAACGTAAGAGAAGGGCAAAGCCTGTCAAAACTTAACACGGATTTATGTTCTGACTGAGATTCTCGTCCATGTTTGTAGTTCACATCAGGTTGCACAATGCTTTGCAAACCTTGTCTAAGCTTAGCAATTGCCTACGTGTTCGCATCATCGTCCAAACCTCGTGAGCTGGGATGCTTGGCAAATCCCATCAATCACAACCTAGCAGAAGCCAGATCCTCATCCGGGTTTCGCACAAGAACCGCCGCAGTTTTTTAAAAAGACAGAAGCAGAATCTTCGCAAAAACCTGAAAGGGAATACTGGAACATGTGTTTTTGAGACGCGTTTCAACAAGGAACGGAAACTGACAGTAGCTGACACGTTTTCGTTGGAGAATTGACTGGTGGAAGAAAGGTCTCTTTGGTTTCCATGTGAGGTGGGGAAGCGAGACCACCTTGATGTCGGGGGATCTTCTCTTTGGAGGCTCGGAGGTTAATGCTATTTGGACCTGTTGGATCAAGTTGTATGCTCTGTCATATCTTTTCATCAAATTGTTGGTTTCCATGTTCTATTCGTTCGTCAGGGCACCTCTGCAAGTGCTGACAACATTCTCTCCTGAATGCTCACACGTTGACCCATGAACGGTGAAAGCTCCCCGTGGCTTGAAAGGGCTCGTCGTTTTTAATGTGCGCTCCGTGCGAGATCAAGATTTCAGGGGGATGTGATCACGGTCCATAAAGAACACGATTTCAGGCCTCAATGTGCGGATGCTCCATACGCGGGGTCATCTCGAATTCTCGTCTCCGCGCGAGAGAACTATTTCAGGCCTTAAGTAAAGGGGAGTTTTACGCAAGGGCGTGATGCTGCTAGTGAACGCTTCCAGAAACATCTCTTCTCAAAAGCAAGCCCAAGGAGGCCAGACCTCGACAAAAAGAACTGCAAAGTAGTCAAGTGTGTAGACAGGCCTAGATGGTGATCAAGTTCAACTAGGCTCTGGTAGGACGAGTATGATCTCAAAGTTTGTCCGCAGCATATGCAAGACATGACATGGCGCAGCCGCCCATGAAGGCTCGGGTGCTAGTGAGCGGGCGCAGTATAGGTTTGCACTTCCTTCTGGGCGGCGATGGGATGTGGCGCATGCTACTCTTCAGCAAGCTAGAAATGATGTAAGTTAGTTTCTGGTGAGACCAGACGAGCATAGTCATGGCCTGAGCGCGCTCCGGCCTTCAATTCAGATGTTTAGAGAGAGGTGCACCCAAAGATGAGTTAAGGCAAAGCAGCAGATCAAGACATCGTGGAGTTCAACTTCTATGACAGCTACAAGCTTGGCAAGAAGCTGGGCCAGGGAACGTTTGGACAAGTCCGCTTGGCAAAGGACAAGCTGAACGGCAAGGAGTTGGCGGTGAAGATTGTGGATGTACGCCACTACGATGATAAAACAGGCGTATGCACCGGGCAGATTAGCCGCACGCGCAACAAGGCAACCAGGGACGAGGTGTTGCTCTGGAAGCGCGTTTGTGCTGCCGAGTGTGAGCACGTGGTCCTTTTGCATCGAGCTTTCTCCGACAATTCCCTCTATTACATGGTTTGTGAGCGATGCAAACGGTCCATGCTGGACATGACGGTCGATGGCCTCACAGAGATAGATCTCTCTGACATCTTCAAGCAGATGATCCAAGGAGTTTTGCACACCCACAGAGCACAAATTGTCCACAGAGATGTCAAGCCTGACAATTTTTTGTGGGGTGGCCCCGAGCATCGCACATTAAAGTTGTGCGACTTCGGCCTTGCGGCAGCTATGCCACTATCGGGTAAGCTGTTTGGCGTGTATGGAACTGCGCCGTACATGGCCCCAGAAATGTTGACGAATGTGGGTTACGACTACCTGGTCGACATTTGGTCTTTGGGGGCTGTGGCTTTCCTGTTGACGTATGGCAGGTTCCCATACACTCCAACAGAGCAAACATCGGCTTCAATGAAGGAGGCCATCATCAAGGATTCGCCTCCGCTGCACATTGGAGCAGAGAGGGTTTCCGAAGGATCGCCGTGTTCAGACAGCTTGCTCAGCTTCATCCAGTGCACGTTGTCACGAGACCCTTCTGAGCGACCTGCAGCAGACTCTCTCCTGGAGCATGCATTCTTGGTGGAAAGTAAAGCGGCAGAGGCCCGTCATGTGAGAAACCTTTCTTTGCTTGCGGTTTTGGCTCTCTCAAATAACATGCGTTGACTTGCTTCACGGAAATTAGTCAGCATTTCACAGCATTTCACAGCATGGTGGATGTGTGGCTGGCCAGGTTGCCATCTTAGGAGAGGAAGGAATTCTAGCAGGTTGCACTGAAGGCATTCACAGGTCAGAATGTTGTGATCAGCTCTTGAGATGCGCAGGTTGCAGATGAGAGAGAAGCAGAAGATGAAGCTGACGCGGAGCAAGAGGATGTATCCGGTCGACCTATGACTCACATCCGATCGCTGACGCACAAGATGACAACTCGACCAAGCGCCACTGTTCAGAATGGAATTGACGAGCTGCTCCAAAAGCTTTTCGTAAAACATGGTGGAGAAGCTGCTGGTTCCAACATGTTCTTCTCCGAAGGAGATGAAGACACAGCAGGCAATCAGGCTGACGACGGTTCGCCAACGATTTCGCAGGCCGACTGCAGAATTCGGAAGAAGAATTCGCGGCGAAACGTCAAGCATGCCACCCACTCAGGAGTTTTGTCGCCATCAGCTGCAGTACACCTAGCACGCTCCAGCACCGCTTCCTCGAACTCAGGGGAGGCTGCTGGTGATGCCGGCTAGCGGCAACCTTCTTGCTTGCACAGCGATGCCAGATTTGTTGCGCCCCTTGTTGCCGTAGAGTTGTTCGTCTCACCTTGCGCAATCATTTGTTTCACATCTGCGCAAAGAGCAGTAGCTAGCCAGCGTAACTTGACACGAAGCGGTCCGGTTCAAAGCCAGCGCTTTCGTACAAGGTTATGAATGGCGTTGAGGGAAAACTCGAGTAGGGCCTGGGCAGGGTGCTGGCATCTACAGACCGAGTCTATGCTTGAAAGTCGGAAGGCAAGCGAAGGGCGATTGTTTTTTGCCTTGTGGCCAGCTGGGGTGTTTGATCTTTGTGGTGTCGGCTGTTCACAAGCCCGAGTTCCATTTGGGTTGCCAAGATGCTGTTCAGACATGGTTGACGGGATGTTCCTGAGGTAGAGTTTGGATCTGTGCTAGTCTGGATTCCATGCCCGCGGAATGGTAGTTTGCATGACGAATTTCGCGAAAGCGCTTTGGAAGGATGAGATCCTTTGGGAAGGCATAGGAAGACATCCTCAGCTTGATGCCTGACGGTTCTAGCACGACGGTTTGATGAAGCCTTTGCGACCATATGCGACCTTGCTCTGGGGCTCTGGAACGCGTGGACGGCTTTTGCTGATAGCATGCTGTTTACCGCAAGCTTTTAAACAACAGCCGAGGTAACGAGAGCCGGTTTTCAGGAAAAATGAGGAAAAGCAATTCAGAACAGCCCCCATGACGAGCCATGTCCCGTTGTGCCACCGTAGTATGGTCCCCCATGACACCCAAAAGCGTGCTGCACGTTTGCGGCCAGCGTGCCATTTGGACTCGAAGGTGACCGGCGGGAATGGCCCATGTCTGCTTTACATGTTTCAAAAAAATGTTGGGGGGGCGCATTTACTCAGCCTTTCAAGCTCAGTGTTTCAAAGTTGCATTTCAGACCGGCCCCTCTCGGTCCGTCCGAACACGTCCGAACATCCTACTTTCTCCTTCATGAACCTTGTTCGGCGGGTAGCATGAGCAGCTCAGAGAGAATTTCTCTGATCAACCCCAGATGAGGTTTTCTCTTCTTGAAGCATGTGGTGCAGCACAGGACCTTCCACAATCTCAATACGACCCCTTGCTGGAATACATGAATCCTCGATTTTCAGACTGCCCCTATGTGGCCGTATGTGGCCGTATGTGGCCGTAGTCCTTCCTTTGAGGGGCATTTACGCCCATGCAATCCCGAAAGCGAGGCTGCAAAATCCTTTTTTCACTCTCTCTAACTCCTGCATGTGATTTTCATTGACTCGTCGAGTAGAACTGGGAGCTCAACACTGGGATTTCCACCATTGCAGACCCATGGTTGCTCCCCGACATGTTCTGGGCCGCTGTTGCCTGGTGAAAATGCGAGGGTCTCTTACCAAGTCAGTGGGTAAACATTTCAAGAACTGATTCTTTCATTCTAGGGCGTTTACTTCATCACGAGCATATGGGAAAAGGCCAACAGGAATTTCCCGGAGCCCCTTCCATAAAAAGATGCAAGTCGCAAGCCACAGTTGATTGAAGGCAGCAAATCTTGCACACGCCGCATCAGTGCGTTGTGGCAGTTTGACCAGGGAAGTATCCAGCAGACAAGATGAGACAGCCGGTTGTTTGTGATGCGGTGGAAAGATGATGTGGCAGAGCTGGCTCTTGCAGCAAGGGATGAATACTGCCTTGCCAGGCCAGGACCACAGCTTACGCAGAGCTAGCTGGGATGAAAATGATTTAGCCTCGAAATGAACCTCTTGTCGTTAAAGGCGTGTAATGGCGTGTAGCCATGGGCCTGATGATGCTCGTGCTGTTCTCCGTGCTTTTTGTCAGCCCGTCCAGTTCGTCGGGCTGTGAACGGAAGTTTTACGTGCTGTCGTTGGAAGAGACGGAGGCGCGCGCGCCCCGCTTGTCCCGATGCAGCATTACGACGTATGCTTGGCGGCTTCAAACTGAGCTGTCTGCAAGCTTGTGTGCGACTGCAGACCTACATGAGGCAGACGTGCTGATGGTGCCCGGTTACACATACACAGACTGCCACTGGCCACATTACAACCATGACTCCTGCCAAAAAGAGGGCACGTACTATCGAAGCGGGGATAAATGCTATGATGATGAAACCATGAGGGACTATGCGGCCCTTCGTAGCCAGAAGGACTTTGATGGAAAGATCCTTGCCTTGGCAGACAGTGGTGATGGTATCCACGGCTTCCCAGATCGGCGCTTATTTCATGATCCAGGCTTCCTGGTGATGCGTTTAGGTCTGCCGGCCTGGGCCCATAGCCCAAACAATATTGCGTTGCCTTCTGGCCCCACACCTCGATGTGCCAGCGCAGCTGGACAGAAAGCAATGTCCGAGCCTCTTTCCTCCAAGAAGTATTTCTTGACGTTTAAAGGGCATTTATCAAGAAATCTCCGGCGAATAGCCGCTGCGAAGCTGCATCACAACGACATGGATGTCATTATTGCTGACGCCAATGATGAGCAGTATGACTTCGATGACTTACTGTACTCGTCTGTTTTCGGTTTGGTCATGGAGGGGGATGGGCTTTTCAGCTTTCGCTTCAATGAAGCCGTTTGCTCTGGAGCAATTCCTGTTCTGGTGTCAAGCACGCAGGTTCCTCCTTTCCATGATCTTGTTCCCTTTGCGGCCTGGCAAAATTGACAGGATCATTGCACCATCTGAAAGGGCTTTGCTAGAGTCATCTGGAAGCTGCCTGAGGAGACGTATGGGGTCCTGGTGGAGGATGAGGAGGTGCCGGAGCTGGTGGTGAAGCTGAGGGCTTTGGATCTCCGCATCCGCTCGGAGCTGCGCTACCAAGCTGCCAAGGCCTCTTGCATTCAAGTTTGTGCTCGCGCTTGACTGGTTTTCTTGCAGGTTTGCAATGGTTACCTGAAGACCTTCGAACTCCAGGCCAAGGCTGTGGCTCAGCAGCTTTCACGGCAGCCTGCGTCCGCTCCGCGTACCTCTTGCGCTGGCGGGTTCTACGTGCTGAGCTTTGGGGAGGCTGAGGGCTTGATTCCGGAGCTGGAAGAGTGCCAGGCAGGGCCAGGCTTCCTACAACTTATTTCCATCATTTTCTGAACCCGAGGTCTATGAGTACGCTGCCCGCATGCATCGTGCCTTTCTGGCCGTGCGTGGGCTAGGTCCTCATTGTTGGGCTCAGCAGCTTCAAGAGGCCGACGGCCCGATGCTTCAACATTCTGCAAACTATGCAAGCTCTGCGTCTACATAGTGTTTCGTGCTGAGCCTTTCCTAACCTAGACCACCTAGTCGGTGTTAGGAGTTGCCAGCAGCCACAAAGCATCTACAGGGCATTTGGAGTTGTCAGCGCATGCTGGAGCACCTCAGCAGCTTGACCCATGCGCCTATAAGTTCACAAGGCATGTAGATAAGATTCAGAGATGCCTGCCCAGTCAAAGGAAGTCCAGAATCCTGGAATACCAGCGCCGCGAAAACTGAAATTCAATTTTGCATGTTTTTCAACGCAGGTCGGGGGAGGGGTAGTAGTAACGGGCATGTGCGCCTTTCGCCCAAGCCGTCCATATCGTACGTATTCGAGCAAGTTCTCAACACGATGACATCCATACTATGCACGGCTTGGCACAGCTGCAACTTCGCAAGAGCGACCTGGAAAAACCATGGTCTCAGGATCTCCAGCTGCACAGTTGGCCTCAGAGCTGTACACTGTTCTTCCTGGTCCCTCCAGTTCTTGTCGCAGCACCTGTGAACCTGACCTCTACCAGGTCAAGCGAGAGGAATTTATTGCAAGAGTGTCGCCTGTTAATGCGAACCTATGTGGCTTCGGCCTTCCGGGTAGTGCTGACGGCTTCCTTTCCTGTGGACAAGGGAATGCACCAGCACGTGAACGGCAACTACTATCGTAGGTGTTCCAGCAAGCTTCCGCTCATCACAGGCTCCATGCCCAACCATAACGTCGTCCATGTTCATTCGAGGATGTTCGAGAACATCCGAAAACCAAAGCATCCACGCTAAAACCATCACAATATCGTTTATCGCGTTAAACCTAGCTTTGCCACAAACCAACTTCGCCGTATCAGTCCAAGCTTTGCCCAATTAGTCCAGACTTTCCTCCATTTGTCAAAAGCTACGCCCTACTTGTCCAAGGGTGTGAGGAGTTCTGATTTACTTTTCTTTTGCCTCGTTAGTGCAAGATTCGCCCATTGGTCTAACGGCGTGAGACATTCTGATTTAATCTTATCATTGCCCCATTAGTCCAAACTTCGCGGCATTCGTCATTCGTCCAAGCTTCGCCCCATAGTTCAGGCTCTGCCCATTCGTCCAAGGGCTTGAGTTTGATTGAATTTTATCATTGCCCCATTAGTCCAAGCTTCGCCGCCCAGGTCAGAATGTCTTCCATCAAGAGCATCGATGTCCAAGCCATGATGTCGTCCATGTCCAAATCACGAAGACGCAGAGAGAGGCCTGCGTGGATTTTTTCAGCCGCCTTCCACCCGAAACAGCATTACGGCAGGAATGCTTGAAAAAGGACCAGTCAAACATGGGGCACTTTCCAAGCCCCAGCACCCACCCGAAGACCTGCCCCATGCAACTCCTTCAGTTTATGCATATATCGCACGGCTACAAACAAGCTCGCGGTTCTCCGCGACAGAGTTCGTTTCCCCACTCTTCAATGTGGGGTTGTTAGATCTTGACAAGTCCATGTTCCCCTCGCCAGTTCATCCATCTCACTGCAGAATCAGAAAGTACCCGTGCAGAACCCGAAGAATCCAGGCAGCGCCAACAAAACTCTCCTTGCAGTGCCCAAGCCCCATCCCGGAGAACCTACGCAGTCCCAGAGTCCCAGCCTCCCATCCACCCGCCTGGAAACAATTTTGAAAGGGTGGGTGTCCGACTGAAGATCTTGAGCTTGCAGCGGTCCAGTAATGCTCCGGAAGAGTGGTTTTGGATGTTTCTGGTAGTGGAGTGTTCTGGAACGTTTTGCTTGGCGTAGTCACGCCGTAATCCTGTTGGGGCAGTCCTGGAGTGCTCTTGGAGTGTGATTGGAGTCCTCTTTGGCGCCTTTTGGGTGATGACCCCGTGATCTCTTACGATTCATGCAATGTCCCCCAGTTGAAAGATGTTGTGTGTGTTCACCTCCTTATTTTGGAGACTGCCGTGGCAGCGTACCTGCCTGCCCTCCTCCAATCTCATCGCACACCGCTCACCTGTAGAGGCGGGCGTGGTACTGGTACCTGGCTACTCTACACGGCGGCCGCAGGAGTGGGCTGAGCAGCTTTTCTGAAGATGCCATTTGTTCGCTGCTGCTGGTGCTGAGGGCGCCGTTTTCAGTGATTTTCTGTGCAAGCTGCCACGTAGCTCATGGACTTACTTGGCCTGCACTATGTCTCTTTATTCGTAGCAAAATGCGCAAGGCCGAAACAGCTTAGAGCTCATGATTCTCAGGACACGCTTTCAAGAGGGCTGCTCACAGGAAGAGGTGCTCAGCGCATACCACCGCCTCCAATCTCACAAGGAACCTCGGAACCAAATCATAGGTTCTCTCTGCCATTGGCTTCTTTCTGGTGCCTGGCAGGTTAACACACTTCATGCATGAGACGGCGCAACCTATGCAAGCCCTTGTTTTCATTCTCCATGGTCAGGAAATTCGTGGCAAGATGTTGCTCTTGCTTGATGCCGGTGACTTCAGCATTCCAGCGGACCTGGACATGGCATGGCTGCGAGTGCGCCCCGAACGGGACACTTTCAGGCTTTTCCATGATCTAGCTCTGCCTGCAGAGCCAGCAACCTTGAGCTTGCAGCCAGAGGGCATGCGGTCTTTTCTCGCACCACTCGACACGAAGCGATATTTCCTGAGCTGCAAGGGCCGGTTGGATGAAGCTGGTTTGCCTGAGACTGTTGGACATCTTGGCCGGCATATCATACTTGCACCTTGCCTGTGCTGAGCAGTACGTTGCGATACCCTTGCCTAACTAATGTGTCTTGGGGGGTGGGTACCCCTCTTAAAATTCTAGGCGCCCAGCCGGAAATGTATCCCTCCGGCCTTTTTTTTCATGGCCGATGTTGGTGTGTCGTGTGCGCATTTCATTGCATGATGCCGCGTGGATCACAATCTTTCTGAAGTTGCTGGCATCCTGCTACGTGCTGCCATACTCTTCGGGGCTTAAGGTCTAGGGCCTAGGGGATACGGTGTAGGGTCTAAGGTTTAGGATCTAACTAGGGCTTAGAGTTGAGGGTCGAGGGTTTAGCTCGGGTCAAAGTCCGAGTGTTCTCATGTCTCATCATTCAGGCTGGAAGCAAGTAATGTATTGTGGGAGGCCTTGACCAGGTTACCCCCAGCCTGCATACATTCCAAGGTCTTCCTCCTCCCATAACCTCTCACCCTAAAACCTGAACATGCTGGCTTTTAATTCCATGTGTTTTTGTCATGCCCCTTCATTCCTGGAATCCTTTCCTACGCTCCGAGCCATAAGTAATGTATGGTGAGAGGCTTGGACCGGTTCCCCCCCTTGGATACATTCCAGGATCTTCCCGACCCCAGAAGCCCGGTTCAGGAAAGCTGGGGATTGGATGGGTTAAAGTCCAAGTGTTTTCTCATGTCTAGCCATGCAGGCTGGAAGCAAGGGCAAAATTAATGTATTGTCGGAGGCCTTGGCCGGGTTATTCCGGGGTCTTCCTCACCAAATAACCTCTCACCCTAGAACCTGAGTATGCAGGTTTGAGGGCCTAGGGTTTAGGGCCTAGGGCCCTCGAAGGGCTGAGGGCCTGAGCGAAGGACCGAGGTTTGCTTATATTTGGAGCATCACGACGGCTTGGTAGGTATTGGTAGATACGTATGTACATGATTTTTCGTCCCGATAAAGGAATTTGGCCCCCTACATGAAACTTACGTGCCAGGTCCCCATGATTCTCCAAGTAGGGATGCGAGTAGAGGGGTCGTAGTCCTGGAGCCATGTAAAGGCCCCCCTAGATACATTTCTTTTTCCTGGGAAGCCCGCAGTCACTATGTATGCAGGGGGGAGGGTCACGCTTTCCGCTTTCGAGTTGGGGCAGAGTATGTGTTGCGGCAAGCTTCTGTCGTAGCATTTTTCTACTTAGTCATCGTGGTGCTGTGGGCACTTCTTGTAGCATCGTCAAATGTTCCAAGCGCTTGAGAACTGCCGCTCAGAGGTGTGTGGAGGCCCAGCACAGCCATGGCGGAGGGGAACGGTCGGCCATACGTAGCGATGGCGACGCGCACGGTGGGAGCGCAATCACGGCAGCTGGGCGCGCCACCGGGCCACCGACCAATTCTTTTAAGTCTGAACGCTAGAATTCGGCAGTGTCAACACGCAGTTTGGCGAAGAATTTGAAGTATGAATACTGATGGAAATTAGGGAAAAGCAATTTGACCAAACAAATCTCCTCACACCGTGTCAACACGGAACGATAAAAGAGGGTCAAGTGCTCGACACGTTGGCCTCAGCCCAGTGGCACATAGCTGCGCAAGGCAGACCGTGAACACGGATATTCAGATATTCTTGCGGCATTTGACCGTCTGAGGCATCAATATTTACAACAACACCCTAAGGAAACATAAACATAGGTCTGCAAAGTTTGACATGCCGCCTGCTGCTTGATTGTCCTGGTGTTTGGTCCAATTTTGCATCTCGCTTTCAAAGGAAACTCCTGGAACACAGCACCAGCCAGACTTGCGGGCCCAATAGGAACCATTTGTGATAGCCTCGACTGATCTTCCCAGTCATCTCCCTGATTGGCCTTTGATAAAAACCGTAAGTGGCAGCATGAATCCTGAAATAGCCGTCCTGCCTTCAGTGGCTACATGAGCTAGCGGAGACAAGCTTGAGTTGCGTCTTGCTTTAACAGTCGTAGAATTCTATGAGTTTTTGTGGGGGAGAAAAGAGACAGTAAGCCGTTCAAGTGGTCTTCCAGCAGCTTCGGCCTCAAGACCCATCATACATTCTTGGGAAGGTTCATAAAATTGGGGGAACGGATTATGTACTGGCTTCATCATGGTTTGGAACAAGACAAGCTTCTTGGTTCACAGGGTCTGGCAGGCTGGTCTGGCTGTGGTGACTCGGAGAGAATGGGAGGGGTGGGGGGGGCATGTCATGCGTCAACAGCAGCAGCTTGTGGGCTCCCGGCCAGCAGTTTTCGTTGCTGATGGGTGGGGTCAAACGACATTGTTCCCAGCAACTGCTCCGGGCCGTCAGAAAAGGAGTGTATATGCGTCTACCAGTCTACCATTCGTTCTTGGACGATTCACTCTTGTGCACTGACTGAAGGGGACGTCGAAGAGGGCCATCTTTCGGATCGAAACCTAATTTGACAGGTTTGAGGAGACTTTGAGGTGTGTTTGTCTGGATGGCACGCTACTGGTCTTTCAAGTGCACTCAAACCTCGCCTGGCCACCCTGCACGCAGACTATTCTGAACGGGCAAGCCCACAGCAATTTGGATTCTCACTCCGCTTTCGCTGGAGCATCAAAGTTGCTGTCCCTTGGTGAGATGTTGGACGCTGGTATGTCCCAAATCGACGACATGGTTGACTGGAATCCCAGGCAGTCCATGGTTGAGGACCGATCAGTTTCCCGAGTCTGACCAGGTTGCTGCTGGTCGTGGAGAACAGGGGAGTTTGCCTACCCGATTTTGGAAGGCAAGCTGGTCTTCCCTTCCTGCCAGCCAGAAGAGACCTGGCGCAGGAAGACCCATCCAGCGATTCCATGTAGGTGTGGGCAGAGGTGATTGGGCATAATGCGCCCCTCTCTTTGTTACAGCCCTAGCTTACACGCGGACAGCCCAAGACTGAGCCACTTCCACATTGAAACGCCTGGTCTGACGGATGTCCTCGGCTTATGAAGCTTTCTCAAGGCATGACGAAAGCTCGCGATAGTTCATGCCTCGTAGGAGCACATGCATGTGTGGACTCGTAGTGGACAGGTGGTGGAATTCGTTATGTTCGGCCTAGCTGCGCAGCACGCGCCGCCATTCTTATGTCATGACCTTTGTGCGCTGCCGCTGGAAAGTCCGGACCTGCTCCCAATAGTTGTGCTGCGGCATTTCTTCTGTGATTGTCCTAGATTGTCTTAGCTTTCCGTGTGCAGATTCCAAGCTTGGAGTGATGTATTGTTTTCCACCAGCTTCATTTCAGTTCAGTGCTGCCACCAGGCAGATGAAGCAGATGCACGGTATGACTCGCAATACCTGCTCTTGAATTCGGCATTTGCCTTGGTTCTCCCCTCTGAGTCCTTCAACAGCGCGGTATGCTCTGGCAGCGTTCCTGTAGTACTGTCAAAGGCCAGTGTGGCACCTCTGGAGGGCTTCGTGGACTTCGGGACATATGGGCTCTCAATCTCTCAGCAGGGCTTGACTCTGCAAGACCTCATAGAGAAGTTGGAGGAAGAGTTTGCAGACGAGGCAAAAATGCATGTGCTGCGCGAAAATGCACGGGCCTTCTGTACAAGAGCTCTGCAGACGTATGAGGTGCAAGCATCTGCAGCACTGGAGGCTTTCCAGCTGCCCAGGAGGGCTGTCGATACAGCAAGTCCACCTTTTCAGCAAACGCTCTACTTCAAGGGCAGGCTCTTTGCAGTTTGGGAGGGGATGCTGTGGCAAACGGTCAGCACAAAGTCGCACAGTCTCAGTCGAGATTGGAGAGTAAAGAACAGGGGACCCTATCTCTGGATTTTGACCCATGGGAGTTCCGTCTTCGCTGTTCACCCTGACTACAAGGTCTACAGATTTCAGGGCTCGGGGCTCAGAAGAGTAAGGAGGTATGCGCAGTGGGAGCTTGCAGCAGCTGGCGATGTGACAATTCTTGCCATCTGTGATGAGATCATGTTCGGATATGGCCTGGACCAAAATGTTTACCACCAGCAGCTCAGCAGCATGTCTCCCAACAGCTACTGGAAGCTCTTGGTCCTAGCTCGCCCAGTGGTCATGACAGGCCTGGCCTCCTTGCGCGGAAGGCTTTATGGGGCCTCTGAAGGTCGGATCTACACGCTCAATCTCACGGGCCCGTATGGACCACACTGGAGCCATTCGACGAGGTCTCACTTGCCAGGTGATTTCAGACATCTCTTGTAATCTTCAGAATTCAAGAAAAAATGTAGCTTGTTGCTGGCCAGCAATCTCGGTGTACTGTCAAGAACGGAAGGCTTGGGCTTAAGGCTCCGCGCCACAAGGGTGGCAGATGGTTTCCAAGAGGATTGGGTCAGTTTCAATGGTTGGAGGGGACGGGCGGTCTCCGCATTCACATGGAAGCACAACATAAACGAAGTTCTGCTTGCAGATTTTGTAGGTTTTCTGGAGGCGACAAGCCCAGCGAGTATAATCAGCCTAGCCATAAGCCAACAAGACAACCACCCAAGGATGCCCATCTCATGTAGGGCACTGCCGAGTTCAAGCCCAGCCCTACGCCTCAACCTCCAAGACCTTGAGGGAAACCAAAAGCTTCTGAACCCAATGACTGCCCTCAACCAGAGTCCCTGCAGCAACAACTACAGAAATTAGCGTTGCATAGACAGCAGCTTGCATGACCAAACTATGGGTAGCTTTTCAGCTGCTTGGCACGTGGCTGCTTGGCTTGGGGGCCACTCACCTGCAGAAAGTCTTGCCAAGAAAGACAAGAGTTTTTGTAGCTTCCTGCAAGAACTTGATCCCTGTGAAAATTGATGAGCGACAGACATCGAATAGTCCAGGCCCGGAGCATTCGGCGGCATCCCGGAGCTGTGACACTTTTGGCAAGAGCTTCCACTTCTCTAAGAACCGGCGAAGAGCCCCAACAGAGGCAGCTCCAGGAACAAAAGCAGACTAGATCTGTTGCAGTCCCCGCATGGATATGATAAGTCAAGCCTGCACTCCTTTCAGCCTTGGCATCGACAGCCGTCAAGGACTAATAGTTGGACCTAAGCTTGACGAGGTCAGGTTCAGTTGAACCCTTTCGA